CCCGCCGAGCAGGGAGCCCGATGCGGGACTCGATCCCGGGACTCCAGGATCATGACCTGAGCCGAAGGCAGTCGCTCAACCGACTGAGCCACCCAGGCGCCCCTTAAGTGACCTGCTTAAGTGTGCATCAGTTTCTCTTCTATGTGAAGCACATCTGTGAGGGCAAGAATGACAAAGCTTTGCCTTCCCTTGTTTCTTCTGTGCCTGCACACAGAAAGTCCTCAAAAAATACTTGCTGACTGAATAAACAATGAAGGTAACTTTCCAGCCACTGCTCCATCCATTTCACTTCCTGAAGGAACAGGAACCCAGGGGGCAAAAGTTCTAGATCTAGGGCACTCGTTCCCAATACTGGAATGCTGGGACTCCACAGAAACACGCTTCTGCAGGGCTGTTAGATGCCCTGTTTCTCAGGACTCACCCGCAAAAATGACTGCTTCTCTCCACAAGCTTTGCATGTCCACTTGAGACTCTTTTTCTCCTACAATGAAATTCCAGAAATTTGGCTTAGATGATTATTTAAAACAGGTGGCGCTGAATCAAAAATAATGATTTTAAAAGATCAATGGAGAAGCACAGAAGTCTAAAAACAAGCAACATATATGTAAAAAACCTAGTATATTATAAAAGTGGCATTTTAGGAGTAAAAAAACAGACCAATAAATGATGCTGGGAAAACTGGCTGTCCATATGAAACAAAGTCAAGTAGATTTCTACTACTTCCACAACATTTAATTTCGATTCTTGATAAATTTAACTAGATGGGTTCTCTCTTAACATGAAAAAATACCTTATATTCAGCTCTAAAACTGGAAAATCACTACCAGCACGCCCATGAAAATCAAGAACAAGCCGAAAAATGCCCATTACTATTCAACTATTGTTGTTTTTCTGCCAATGGAATTGGAAAAGAAAAAGTAATAAGAGGTATGAAAACTGGAGAAGAGGAAAAAAATTATCATTATAGATACGATTTTTTTTTTTTACCGGGAAACTCAAGAAAATCAAACGCAAAACTACTAAAAACAGTAAGATAATTTAATATAGCGGGGCTGAGTACAAAGTTAATACAGCTTCAAAAGTTAATAGAGCCTTTATATAAGCAAATACCTAGTTAGAAAAGGTAATGGAAGAGTCCATTTAAAACAGCAACAAAGAAAGTGTTATCAAAGGACACAAAGTTGCTTAAAAAAATGGAATGAAGTAGCATGCTTAACATCAAAAAGATGCCTGGGTTGATTTATCAAAATTAATATGAGTATGATCATAATACAAAAACCATCAGTTTTTTTGGTGAAGTACCCAAAAGGATTCTAAGGACAGCAGCACCTAAAGCACCTGCTACAAATTTATGTGGGCATATCCTACGATTCAGTAATTCTAATTCTCTAGCATCCAACTTCAAGCACCATAAAAACACTGCTTTCTTTGGGTATATCTGCAAGTAAGAAATGCACTTATTTAAAAAAAAGGTCTGGAAGGACACGCAGTAACTGGCTAGCTCTGGGGGTCTGGAGTCTGGAGAGACAGTATGGGCTAACAGGATCTTTGCAGTCAGACAACCCTGGATCTGCCATTTATTATTAGACCACTTGACTTCTCTGGATTTCTGTATTCTCATCTCTGTAAAATGAGAATGATAGATACCTAATCCAGAGGTTGAGATTAAATGGGATGTGTGAAATTGTCACATCTGCAATTACTGTTAACTCTTTTCTCCCTTTAGTTTCAAATCACTTTTCATAGTTGAAAATGACTGTGAGTGCGTACTACATATGTATAATAATTAAAAAATGGAAATGATATCCATTTAATCTCAACTCCTAAAACACAGTCCAAAAAGTGAAGTAAGTAAAAACAATTTCTGAGCCCCCAAATAGCCCTTAGGGTCTCAGTAAGCTTACAGGTGCATACTCAGCATCTGACTTTTTTTTAAACATTCATTTTGAAGAAGGTGGATGTTATCCCTTTTCAGGGCACAGCAGATGAGCAGGTAACTAGGGGGAAGAGAGAACTGTCAGAAGTAGATTCGCTCGACGGCACTGTTAGGTGACATCAAGCAGAAAGATGAAATGCAATCCAGGATAACAGGTTAAGTGACTTCCCCTATCTTGCGTCTTGAAAGTCAGGGAAGCAGTACGTTTTGGAGATACCGATTATCCTGTTCAAAACACTCCATGCACGGGCTGTTTACCGTCAGCGGCACAGTCCCTCATCACGAGCATGGAGACACCGCAGAGCGAAGGGGTGCACAGCAAGGCACGCCCAGTCGTGTCTCAGTTTTAAAAACTGTCATCTCCCGGGCGCCTGGGTGGCTCAGTTGGTTGAGCGACTGCCTTCAGCTCAGGTCGTGATCCTGGAGTCCCGGGATCGAGTCCCGCATCGGGCTCCCTGCTCGGCGGGGAGTCTGCTTCTCCCCCTGACCCTCCCCCCTCTCATAGTCTCTCTCTCTCAATAAATAAATAAATAAATAAATAAAACCTGTCATCTCCCTAGGAGTTAAATTAAGAAAGAGCCGCGCTGGGAGAGGCTATCCTCAACCTGCTTTTCCCAACTATCTGCAAGAAGTCACGAGGCCGGCTCCGCAGAAACCATGCCCCCTGGTTTCTACGAATCTTACAACCACCATGCCAAAACCTTTAAAAAAGCCCTGAACGACGTTATGAAGAGGTATCAAAACCCAGTCCTCGAAGCCAGTCAACGTCACGAGTCCGGGCGTCAGGGAGACCCAAGCAACCGAACGGGACGGCGCCCGCGCCTGGGGGCAAGGCACCGGGAGGAGGCCCGGCCCCCCGCGGCCCCGCCAAATCCTGCCCGCCCTCCCCGCGCCCGGAGGAGGGGGAGGCCGGTGCCCACCCCACCTGGTGCGCCTGGAAGAGGCGACAACTACAGCAGCGCAGCACCCGCACCCGCTGTGAGGGTGCCATGGCGGACACCGTCGCCGCTGCGCATGCGCGCTGCGCTCCTGTCCGCCCCGGCGTCGTCTCCCGCACGCGTTCCCCGTCCTCCAGACCCCCGCGCCGCCTCGCGTGCGCGTGCGCTCTGCGCTTCGGCCCGCCCCCGCTCCGCCCCCTCCCACTGAGGCGTTCGGGCCTCTCTAGCCCGCCGACCGTCTCGGCGGTTCGTTGGGGGTACCTGTAGCCGTGACCCGGGAGCTCAGCGGCATTGTTGGGGTTTGCGTCAGCCAGGTCACCGACTTGCTGTCTGGGCCGGGCCGGCCCCCGTCTCTTCCTAAGCCCGCGTCTCCGCTGCGGCTCGCTGGGAAGACTGAAGTTGCAAGGGCAGGTCGTCCAGCCGCGACTCCGGGTCCGGCCTTTGTCCGCGCCGTTCCGTCTGCTGCTTCTGGTCGCAGACAGGGAGCGGGAGGGCGCCTCCCCGCCCCGGCCCAGCCCCTGGGGCTCGGGGTTGGAATTCGCGGGACCTCTGGGCGGAGGCGGCCTTTGGTAGCCGTTGAGCCTGCACCCCGAGGGCTGCGGCATCCAGGATCCCGGGGGGTGGCTCACCAGCCCCACGCTTCCCGGAGACGAGAAGCGGCTGTGAACGAAACCAGCGCCCCCGGGGAAGCCCCACGGCGACCCACTCTGGAAAGTTGGGGGGCAGGAGCCCTTCTGTCCCAGCCGCTCTGGGACGCACCCTAACGCCAGCCCGCGTGCCCATAACATAAACCATCTTGTTAGCGTTACAACACCGGATCCTGACAAGGATGTGGGAGAGGAACCCTTCTTGCCGGATTCTGGGAGAAGGGTCAGATGGAAAAACCATTACGGAAGACGATCTGGCAGTTACCCTACACTAAGAAAATAATCTGACTCACCCAGATTTATCATTTGTGTACGAGTGTTCACTGACGTATAACAGGAAAATGGAATTAGACGTGCTAAAGAATGGTCGCTTACTGTAACCCAAAATGGGCCATCACGCAGGTCCATTACAGAGAATCTGAGTCCGACGTGCAAATGCCGGCATGTGTATTGATGGAAAGCAGAGAAGTTACGAAGAGCACGTAATTTGAGTTAGGTAAAACCAGGCATTATTTATTTCCAGGAGCGGGGTGGAGGGTTTACGGTTATAGAGGATTTAAAATTGTTTATATTTTCCAAATTTTGCACAGTATCCTATATGAGAAAAAAACAAATTAGTTTAAAAAATTGTTTGAGGGGCTGGCTCCTGGGTGGCTCAGTCGGTTAAGCAACTGACGTCTGCTCAGATCATGATCCTGGGGTCCTAAGATCCAGCCCCCCTTCTCCGTCTCTCCCCCCCACCCCCGCCGCCCCGTACTCGCTTTCTTGTGGTTTTCTCAAATAAATAAATAAAATCTTAAAAAAAAATGAGAGGATGGATTTACAAACGGACTGTGGCCAGACCACATATGACAACCTTTATAGCAAGCAATGCCCAACGCCCCCCAAGCCAACCTACAACCTCTAGAGCAGACAGGACTTGGTCAATAACTGCCCATTTCCCTATATTCTGCACTTCCCTCTTCATCTCAGGACCAACCAGAGAAAGCCAATTACACTCCTCACACCAACAAAAAAGACACCCTTTTAAGGTAGCCAGCATCCACTTCCAGGCCAACAGCCTCTAATCAGAGCACACCTTAAGCCTTCCCTTGTTTTCACGCTAAGGCTTTCCCACTCCTCTACCTTTGAGTCTCTGCCAAATGCAAGGAATGATGGCTGACTCCTTTTCTATAGCAAGCTCTAGATATATAGTCCCTGTTCTCATTTGGGTGGTCTTTATTTTCACGTGTTCGAGTTACTGTGGCTGAAAGAAGAAGGCATCTGAAAAGAATGTTTTATGCTTAATGAAAAGAGCAGAATAAAAATTTCATGGGGCACCTGGATGACTCAGTTGGTGAAGCAGTGAAGCTATGATTCTTGATTTCGGCTCAGGTCATGATCTTCGGGGTTGTGAGATCCAGCGAGAGCACAGAGTCCGCTTCAGATTCTTTCTCTCCTGCTCCCTCTGCCCCTCCCCCCCATGTGCATGCACTCTCTCTCTAAAATCTTAAAATTTTTTCGTATGTGGTATGGGTTCAGGTTTGAAAAAGATGGTCGCTTACTGTAACCCAAAAAAACAGAAAAAAATAAACACAAAAATATTGAGTAATCTTAAATACTGGGAAAATTGTTTTTCTACTTTTCTGTATTTTTCCCTTTCTATAATATGTAATCTTTAAAAATTCATATACTTTTCTTGGGAATTATAAAATTGACTTGCTTTGGCATAACATCACTTGGTAAGCAGTTTTAAAATATTACGTTTACTTACAGAAGAGAAGTATTTTTAAAGCTTTACTTGTATTATCCATCTATTTTTTAGTGTTACTGTTCTGGTTATTTTGAATGTCATTGCAGGTTGAATGATTAATAGATGAAAGTACTGTTGTACATTTTTGTATATTATTTTATCATATGAAAGGCTAGATTCCTGTTTTATATTCTTCTGTTTAATTTCTTTGGCATATTCTTACATTTAGACTTCTACATGATATGTAAAATACTTATCCAAATTTCACATTATTTAAATCTAATTGATTATGATTTAAGACTTAAAACTGCCAACTTTGTGGGATTTTTATGTATATCTTTACTTAATTTCATTATGGCCAAGAATATGGTCTTTCTGATACGAACCCTTTGAAATTATGGCAAAGCATGTGGTCAGTTTGTGTAAATACTAGGAATGAAACTACATTGATTAACGACATTTTGTTGTTGTTAAGAAAGCAGTTATTCAGTTTCCTTGATGTTGTTTTGCTGCATTTATTGAGATGGGACCCAGCAGTTGTGAACAAGGTAAAATCATGGAGACCGTTATTTAAAAAACCAGCCACAAAACCTATAGATAGAAAGTAGATTAGCAGTTGCTTGGGGCTGGGGGTGGGAACAGCGATTGGCTGCACGTGGGGAGGAGGGTGATGGAAGTTTTCTAAAATTGCATTGTGGTGATAGTCGCTCAATTTTGTAAATTTACTCAAAATCATTGAATTATAACTCAAAATGAGTGAATTTTACGGCATGTAAATAATGCCTCAATAAAGCTATTAAATTAAAAAACAAAAACAAAAACAGGGGCACCTGGGTGGCTCAGTTGGTTAAGCATCTGACTTTTGATCTCAGCTAGGGTCTTGATCGCAGGGTCGTGAGTTCAAGCCCTACACTGGGCTCCAGGCTGGGCAGGGAGCCTACTTACAAAAAAAAAAAAAAAAAAGGAAAAACCCCCAGCCCCAGATGTACCTTTTTTTTTTTTAAGATTTTATTTATTTATTTTTGAGAGAGAGAGCGTGTGAGCACGGGGAACTGCAGGTAGAGGGAGAAGCAGGCTCCCCGTCGAGCAAGGAGCCCGAAGTGGGGCTTGATCCCAGGACCCTGGGATCATGACCTGAGCCGAAGGAAGACGCTTAACCAACTGAGCCACCCAGGCGCCCCTCAGATTTATCTTTCAGTAGAAGAGATGCCCCACGTGATAGGGGTGGGGAGAGGGGTGAACGCTAGACACTGATGATCAGCTCTTGCTACAAAGCTAGGGGGTGCTCATGGCTCAGCCTGTCACCTGTGGCCCCACAGCAACTTGCTGAGCCCAAGTGCTTGCTGCAGCCCAAGCCCAGGCCAACACCTGCACCCACTGGACCCAGGCTGTTTGTGCCTGAGGTGCTTGGGACTCTCCCTCGGCAGAGGTCAGCTCAAGCCCTATTGGGCCTGCATCAGTACTTTCTGTGCCCTCATTCTCCCTGGGGGCCTGAAGCCCCACCCCTGTGGGGGTCTAAGTGCCCAGAACCTCCAGAACATGGCCTGGGCCCCCACCTGCCTGGGAAGAAGCCAGAAGCCCAAGCAGTAGCTGAGGCCACATTAAGGCTCTGTACACAGTATGGTATTGATTTCTTTCGGGGGTTTATTAAGGCATTGAGCACAGTGTGATTTTCAGCCAACTGAAATGAATATAAGGAAATCTATCAGGACCTGAGGGATGTGCTTTTAAGGTTAATGGTGAGGCTGACGAGCTGAAAGAGCATTTAGAGTAACGCCCGCACGGCATCTGCCCCGGTGCACTAGACACTTTGTGCCCGTGTCCCTCAGCCAGGGGCTCAGGGGCTCCTAGAGAGCACCCTGATGCCCAACGGGATCCCCTGCTTGGTGCCAAATGGCAGGAAAGCCCCCCAGAGTACTCAGCTGCAGGACCGCCCCCCCCCACCCGCGCCAGAGTGGAAGGTGCCGTGTGGCCTGGCCACTGAACGGGGCACAGAGGCATTGGGCAAGCAGGCCAGGACGGACAGCCTCTGACAGGACACAGGGACTGAGGCGGGTCCCACCAGGCAGGCAGGAAGAGGGGGCTGGGAGCCTCTGTCTGGGCCCAACTGGGGCTGTTCAGCCTTTTTTTCCATTTACAACTCACTGCATCTGGGGAGAACAGGAGGGGTGCGTCCTGAGGGAGAAAACAGAACAGGAGGGAGGAGGGGGCGAGGAAGAGAGACAGGCCAGGTCCCCGTCAGCCTGGAACTCCAGACTGTTCGAGGTCACTGGACGTGCTGAACTGTCTCTCCACCTTCTTTTGGTCCTTGATCTTGAGTCCAATGTCCACCCTCTTCTCAAAGAAGTTCACCAGAACGGACTCTGTCAGGATGGAGGCCAAGATCTGCTCGAAGGAGATGCACCAGTCTGTGTCGACGGTGCCCCCACCGCGGGTGGGGGCCGGGGGGCTGCGGGCCTCCGCGCCCACCAGCACCGTGTCGTCAGCCAGGTCCTCGCACTGCAGGGAGCCTGTGCTGACCACCGAGTAGGAGGACATGGACATGTCGTCTTTGGTCTCATCATCAGACAGCAGCTGCGAGGGGGAGCCCCGGCCCTCGCCACTGCCCCCGTCACCCACCACCTGGCTCTCCTGGGGCGCTTTCCCGAGGGGGTTGTCTCCCCCTGCTCTGGCCTGGGGGTCACCGGCAGCTGGAGGCTGAAGCTCCGGGGCTGGGTCCTGTGCGGGGTCAGGGGCTGGTGGCTCGTCATCCTCGGGGGCACCATCCCTGGGCTTCCTGCCTGGCTGGGCGGAAAACTTCTTCCCCACCTCGCCGATGCGGAGCAGCAGGCTGGCCACCGTGGCGATGGCGTGATACAAGTCCTGCTCCATGGGGTCCTCACTGAACATATTGTACAGCGTCTTGCACAGCTCAATGAACTGCTCCTTTTCAGGGAGACACAGAGAAAGGGTGGGGAGACGGCGAAAGATGGTCAGACGGGCCTGGGATCAGCCAGACTGCCAGTGCTGGGCTGTCTTGTTCGTGGTCTCCAGGCCTGCGCCTTGCTGTGCCCATTTCACAGACCGGGACATGGAGGCGCAGAAAGGGACAGCGACGCGACCAGTATCACACAGCCTTAGAAGAGCTTTCTCTTCCAGCTGCCTTTCTTTCAGCACAGACAGTGCTGGGAGCCTCTCCCTGTCCCTATCACAGTGCTGCTGGCTGAGCCAGACCGAGTTCTATACCACTTCCCAGACCCAGGGGCTACAGGACTTCTTCAGTGTGTTTCAGAATCGCCTTGAGTTTTTCATCTTCAACCAGGTGGAGGGTGAGGACAAAACAAGCACAGCCTGGGTCCGTTGAGGGGGTGGGGAGGTCTGACACCGCACTCAGGCCTCCTGCCTCGCTCCATGGGGCACCCCATTCTTCAGGATGCAGGTGAGAGACGCCCAGACTGCAGGTGCCTCTCTGGGCAGGGCAGGGCTGTGGTCAGGCTGCGGCCAGCGCTGAGACCCTTGGCAAGATGCCGGGCTCCCGACCCAGAGGCCAGCGCCTGAACAAGGGGCGGTGGGTGGAGCAGGCCTGCATGAGCACGGCAGCTGGGAGGGCCTGGGAGGAACAGGAGCACTGGGGGGATGACTCGTAAAGGGGTCGTGTGGGCCTGTGTGTCAGAGGCTCACCTTCCCTACTGCCTCTCTGCTGCATAGATACTGACGGAATGTGAACGAGCCATCGCCAGCAAACACCACCCAGGATAAGGCCCCAGAACAACTGGCCTGCTGTCCTTCTGGAATCGTCCCTGACTGCTGTCTGACTAGCAGGTGCAGGAGGTAGGCAGGCGAATTTCCACCCTCCAGCGGGCACTGGGAGGGAGGGTGGGGAGCCGCTGGATGGGGGGAACCCAGCCTCGGAAGTGTCTGTTGTGGGCTCTCAATGGGCCTACCTGGTTCATTTTGGGAAGATCCTTAATCGTCTCCTTCTGAACCTCTTTCTCTTTGGCCCACATGCGAAGGTAGTGCCGATAGTCGGGAGGGCTGGTCCCCTTCTCCTCTGTGTATTGGGAGAAAAAAAAAATCTGTCAGATCGAGCTGGAGGCCGGTAGCAGGCGGTGAGCAGGTTTCAGTTTTGTCTGGCATAGGGTTACCTGGGCCCTTTTATGAAACACCCCGGTATTTGGGGAGGTGGCAGTGGGAAGAACACTCCAGAACACCCGGATGTCTCCCCTGAGTTCTTATGCTAGGGTAAGGCCTGAGCTGACGAAGAGGGCCCCAACCTGTCTCCCCCAAGATGGCAAAGGAGGGACGTGGAGGCTGCAGAAAGCAGGTGCCCTGGAATGAGGTGGCAGTGGGGTGTGGGGGGTGTATTCACAGCGACAAGAGAGTCAGGCCTGGGGCTGATGAGCGTGGCTTCCCCTGGCAGCTGGCTTCCCTGGGTGGGGGCCCCGCCTGCAGGGAGGAGCCCCAGGATCTGCATCGGCACTGGGAACAACGGCCTGCCTGTACCTCTTTTTTCTTGGCCGTCGTCGTTTCCGCCTCCCTCTTGCTCTTCCTGCCGTAGTGTTTCTGGACAACCGGAAAAGAGAAAGCACACAGGGAATACCCCTGTGTTGCGGCTGCAAACCTCGGAGGCCTGTGAGCAGCCCCGTCCCATCTCCTGCAGAAGCAGAAGCTCAGGGCCTGCTCGCCTTCTTCGCCTGCTTACGGGGAACCAAGGCGCCGCCAGACCCGCCTTCCTCTCTGCCAAAGGAATATAAGTCTCGACCCTCGCCGAGAAAAAGCCCGAGAACTAGTTTCTCTAGTGTCTGCTGAAAAGGGTCAAACCCAAGGCGGTCCTGATTCTCAGTTCAACCCTCCACCAACCACCGCACTGACTGATGAGGAATTGTGTGTACGGGAATTCTGTGCCGGGCACCGTATTTCTTAAAGTGACACATTTGCTGGAGGTGGCCCACACCGTACCCTGTGGGGCCCATGAACATGGGGAGCAGCAGGTGGCCCAGCTCTCCCAGACCTGCGGGCCACAAGGCCGCCGGGGGACCCTGGTGGGTGGCAGCCTCCCAGCGCTGTTGGCGATGGCGGGGAGTCTCTCTGCGCTCAGGCTTCTCACTGCCGAGTGGAGGCCCACTGCCGGGGGCTGCGTGCAGTCTGAGGACAGGGCTCTGTACCCCCGGGCCCCCGGGGAAAGCTGGGAAGGGCCCGTGATTTTCCCAGATTCTGAGTGTAACAGAAGACCCATCTGTTTCTTTGGATCGTGCACCTGAGGCTTCCTATCAAGTTCAAATTAAGCCTTCTGACACCACCAGCAGGCCTGCCTTGGCTATCTGGATACGCACTGTGTTTCTCTTTTGGCCGTGTATTATCCTTGCTGGGTACTATCTGCCACGAGGACTTACAGGCTGGGGTTTTAGTCAACCCCAGGCCCGGAATGCCCCATCACCCTGGATCTGATGCCCCCAACGGGCTTTACATGTAGCAAGGAACGCCTTCACAAAGGCACTCAACAAATATATCTTTCCTTAAGCCCATCTAAACACCTGGTCATGTAGGCCATGAGGACATTTTCCACCGCCCTCCTCCACCTGTCCGTTTCACACTGTGGCCACGATGGCGTCTGGGCTTTCTCCCATGAGCGTGATGATGGAATACTGTTTGCGTGCGGCCGCGGAGCTGAGGCCCCGGTGCCGTGCCATGCGTCCTCATTTACTAGCCCCCTCGACAAGCACAGAGGCCGCCCCTCTCCTCCCCAGTAAGCTGCGGCTTGGTCCTGGGTCCTCCTCGGGAGTCATCCACACAGGAGGCATCCCTGGGACCAAGCGTGTCCAGGCCTCCTGACCATGCGGGGTGGGGGGTGGGGGTGTTAGGCAGACGCAGCCCAGCACAAAGCAGGTGCCCCTGACCCCCAGGGACTGACCTTGAGCCTCCCAGGGCAGGAAAAGGTCCAGATCTGAGGCCAGAGGAGATGCTGGGAGAGCAGAGGAGTGGATGAGAGAGGGAGGGAGAAGCCAAGGTCCAGGAAGGCAGAGACAAGAGAAACAGGAGTGAGAACACCCCGGGGGGGGGCCCTCCCAGAGAGAGGCCGTTGCCGTCACCCGTGGCTCCCCAACACAGCACGCTCCCCAAGCCCACCAAGGGCTGCGGGCTACCTGTGCGGGGCCCCACGACGGCCCGGCTGCAAGGCCAGAGGCCCCTGCACCAGGGTCGGCGGCGCTCACCTTCTGAGGAGCTGTCCTCAGTGAAGTAGTGGGTCGCTTCCAGGGCTGACTCGGCCTCCTCCGGGCTCAGGGCTGTGCTCAGAGGGAAAGGTGAGTGAGGGCAGGCCCGGCTCCCCGCGTGGCGTGCCCCGCCGCCTGCCAGGGCCCATGATACGGCGTGGGGTCAGAGTAGTAACGATGATCACGGATCCCGGGTAGTGTTCCTTTCTTGACTTTCATGTTGTGTTTGAGAACGTCACATGTAGCCCATCTAAACACCTGGTCAGTGCAGCTGGGAGTCCAGTGAATGGCCAGCCCCCCCCTTCACCACCCCGCTGGTGGGGTGCAGAGCACTCTGTGGGGACCAGGCCCCTGCGGGCAGCCACGCAGGCACCAGCCACGCACAAGGGACTTGCTCTTCTCACTCTATGCATCTTGGGCATCGTTCCACATTGGTACGTTCTTTGTGATGAAGTGGTCCCCAGGGTTTCGAACCCACATGGTTCTGTGGGGGGGGGGCTCATTCTCCCCACCGTGCGGTCGGGGATGACAGGGGTTGAACAGGTGGCACTTGGGGGAGGTGGCAGGGTGTGGGCTGTGGGCTCCGGGAGGCAGATACAGGTGCCTCGGGAGTTGGCAAAGGTGGCCCCACGTGCCCTCACCTGGAGGACCCCAGCCCAGTGGGGTCTGCCCAACCCAGGCCTTTCCCTCAGCAGAGTCAGACATGGCTGGCACCCACCTTCCCTGGAGGCGTCCCTGAGGCCAATGTCCCGTGTTGGATTCCAGGTGAGATCACCTGTGTCAAGGCCTGGGGCTTCCAGTTCTGGCCACACAGAACCACCCCCCAGGGGAGCTTTAAAACTGCATTCCGGGCCAACGAAGTGATGGCCTCTGGGGAGCGCACAGCGCCGGTGTTCCAAACACCATTCTGCCCCCTTGGACGCAGCCGCTGATTCCCTGGGGCAGTTCGTGAACAAGAGCAGGGACCCAGGGTGGCTCCACCCCAGAGCAGAGCGCCCCGGGCTAGAACTCTCACCTGCCTGAGTCTCAGTTTCCCCCCTGAAAACGAGGGAACCTCATCTTGGAGAACTCCCCATGCTGGGCAGGGTGAGCTGGGCGCACACAGCGGGAACCCACAGATTATGGGATCTGGCCTGGGGACCAGCTGCCGGTCACCCTTCTCCCCACCCTGTGGCCTCTCAGTGTCCCCAGGAGGCTCAGGCAGAGTGTAGAGAAGCCAAGGGAGAGCAGCCCCTGTTCATGGCTGCACAACGGGGCTACCCAGCCATTCTGAGGGCCTCGGCAGTGCCCCCAGGCTGAGCCTCTGGGGATCAACAGGAGCGGCCTGTGACCCACCTGGGTCCCCCTCAGCCAGGCCGAGTCGCCTGAGACACTCCCTCTCAGGTTATGCCCCCGTCCCAGGGCTCCGGCCTCCTCCTCCCGCTCTGCCAGGATGTGGAGCCCCCCGGGCTGCCTGAGGCCCAGCAGCCCACAGAGGCCTGTGCCTTGGGACGCTGCAGCCCCCCCTCGGTACACGGTGGGTCGGGGAGGAGGCTCTCACCTGGGGGCAGATGCAGCTTGTACAGTGCCTTGAGCTTCTCTGTCAGGTCCCCACGGTACAGCCCACCTGCACAGGGAGGCCAGTGAGGAGGCCTGCTGGCAAGAGGGCACCAAAGCCCCCCGGCCAGTCCACACTGGAGCCCCTCCCCTTCCCAGCCTGACTCTCCTGGAGAGGTCCTTGGGCCCCAGGCCTCCCACTTGCCCCGGAGCTTTGCCCTTCTCAGGGTCGCCAGACCCACGCTGAGCAGCCCTGGCCCGGGGGAGGTGAAGTGGAGGGGAGGACCCCACTGGACCCCCCACATGTTCCCAGTGAGAAAACTGCCCTTTCCATATCAGGGGTGCTGTTGCAGGGGGAAGACTGGCTGGGCTGGCATCTGGAGGCCTCTTGAGCAGGGGCCCTGGGGCTACTCACTCATCCCCATCACAAACTCCTTGAAGTTGATCAGAGAGTCCTTGTTTTCATCCAGGAGCCGGAACATGCGCCCGGCCAAGACTGGCGTGTGGGCGCCGCAGGCCCAGGGCGTCAGGCTGGCGAAGAGCTCTCGGAACTGGCTTGCGTCAATGCGGTACTGCTCCAGGTAGGGCAGGCTGGGGTCCCGACGCACAGCTGTGGGCCGGCTGCCCCCCCAGTACTGACTTGCCAGGTGCTTGGCCTGCAGGCAGCACAACGTGGTGAGACGGCTGGGCCTCCCAGCGCCCCAGCGCTTAGGACCGCCCGGCTGGTCAGTGTGTCCTCCCCACTCCGCTGTCCCGAGTCCGCACAGTCCCGGGGCTGGGAGCACCAGGCCCGACACAGCATCTCCCAGAACCGCCCACACGAGCACCATCAGCCTCTTGTTGACAGACGCAGGAGCGGAGACACAGCCCCAGGGCTGCTGGCCACAGCAGGTCACAGTGGTGAGAGGCGGCACTGCCTGGACCATTCCCACCGTAAGGCTCAGGTATGGCTGCCAAACCAGAGGCCACGGGTAACCGACAACAGGAGGTCTGGACTTAGCTGTTTCTGCCTGCTCTTCACACCTGTTCCCCTTCTTCTGTTAACAGCACCCGAAATTTTTTGGGAGAGCCCCTCCTGTCCACATCAGGCCGTGGGGTGGGCGCATGGCCTAGATTTGGCTCAACAATAAACACCCTCCTATAGCCACAGCACCTAACCTGAGTTAGTCCAACAACTAACCCTGGATTTTTTGTTAAAACCACTTGGAAAGAAAAGGCTCTTTCCCCTGAGAGAGCGGGATGACCCTGGAGCTGCAGACGACAGTCCTGCCATTCTGTAGGAAGACCAGTCCAGAGGACATCTGAGGTAGGGGAGCTTGGCAGCACATTTAAGCCCCTTGATCCAGCCATGCCTGAAGGTGTGAATTCCTAGGCTTTCCAGTAACATGAACCAATGCATTCCCTCTTGTGTAAGCTGACTTGAGTGGATTTTCTGCCACTTAAGAAAGTGTCCTGCCGAAACTCCATGAAGGATTAAATTCTACCACACGAGGTTTGTGGCAACTGCATCTGAAGATGCTTTTAAATCAATTTCTCGGAGCACCTGGGTGGCTCAGTCTGTTAAGTGTCTGTCTTTGGCTCAGGTCGTGATCCCAGGGTTCTGAGATCGAGCCCTGCATTGGGTTCCCTGCTCACAGGAAACCTGCTTCTCCTTCTCTTCCCTGCTCATGCTCTCTAATAAAAATCGACTTCTCCTCTGGCAGGAGCTTGCTGCACCAAGGACGCACTTAGGGGACTAGGATGGGGTATTGGGCCTGCCCTCGCTCTTGGCTGTCACCTTAAACACCATGTAAAGGTCCTCCAGCTCTTCAATTGAGAAACCAATGTCCCCAGGTATAGCTCGGACCTAGAAGAAAAGAGAAACAGCGTGTACTGACGGATTCTCAAGTTCCAGGTCTCTGAGAGAATCCCCACGGGACGAAGGCTAACACAGACCATCCTGGTGAGGTTGCCGGCTGGCCAAGCCCTCGATGGCAGTCCATTCAGGGAAGGAGGTATGGACCACACGCTTATCCCTGGTCACACATCCCACCACTCAGTCCACACTCTCCAAGGTCCTTCTTGGTGAGCGCTGGGGGGGCCTTTCTGTCCTGAACACCCAGTCAGGGACACAAGGTGAGGGGCAATCCTGTAGTGACTGCCGTCTGGATCCTTGGAAAGACTCTGGCACTGGCTCTCCGGAAGGTGTCCTAGAACTTCCCAATAAATGCTCTCTCCAGAGTTGGAGAGGACAAAGGCTTATAGCAGAGGCACAGTGGGCTGGATAGGTGGAGGGTGGCCGAGCGCCGCTACCCAGGGGCAGGGGCGAAGCCAGCAGGCTTCAGGGCTCAGCCCACAGCAGGAAGACTCTTGGCCTTTAGGCGCTGGGGGGGGGTCAGAGAAGCTTTGCAGTGACCAGCCCAGGAACAGAAAACAGTGACCAGGCCTCTCCCACTTCCTCAAATTTGCACCTTCACTCCTGGATTCCAGTCCCACACGACTGGACTAGGGGGCTCTGTACCTGGCCCTGTGGGCAGGAGCAGCCCACCTGGGTCACGACCCCCGCCCCACCCCCCACCCCCCAGCAACCTGCGGCCGTCAGAGCCCAGCCCTGTCCGTACCACGCTCCGCTTGGCTGTGTCCTCCAAGGACTGGATCACTTTCAGCCTCTGTTTAAACCGCATCTGTTCGATGTCGTCGGCCCTCAGGCTGCTGAATTTCTACCGGCCGGAGGGGACTCAGTGAGATAAGGCAGAACCACAGAGCAGAGAACTGCCCCGGGCCACGGCTGCCCACCCCCACATGCCCAGCTGGGGCAGGCCGGCCAAAGAGCCCCAGAGGGTGCTGACCTCATAGGACACTTTCAGGAGGTCGAAGATGTCCACTTCTGCTGGCGGGTCATCCCCACTAGTCAGCAGGGCATGGAGGTGTGGGATAGGAGGAGAAACACTCTGCTTGTTGACCACGTTATCCAGGTATCTACAAGGATTAAAGGACAGAAGGCTGGACCCCCCACAGGCAACGGGGGTCTCTCTCCTACTAAGCAACGTGGAGGGACCTAATCTGCCTAGACTCCCAATCAAGAAGCGAGGGTGCTGAGGACGGGGCACCCTCCAGGAGGGCAGGAGAGGAGTCCCTGACTCTGTGCGGAGGGCAGGCAGAGGCTTGCCCAGGAGGGTGCCCTGGCAAGTCGGGGGTCCCCTGGAAGCAGGAGAGAGGCCTCACCCCTCATGAGGCCTGAGCACTAACTCTGGGAAGCCAGGCTGTCCTCTGGGGGTCCCTTGGGTCGGGACCCTTTTTTTTTTTTTTTTTTTAGATTTATTTATTTATTTGACAGAGAGAGAGACAGCGAGAGAGGGAACACAAGCAGGGGGAGTGGGAGAGGGAGAATCGCCCTTCTTCTTGATGCCTTGTGTTACCAGTAAGTGGTAAAGGCATGATTCGAAATTTGCTTCTTGAACTCT